ATAGAAAGTTAAATACGAATCTTATCGTTCCAGATAGAGGATGAACTTTGATGTTTAATTGTCTTTTGAGCCCTATTTCCATTGTTTGGGTGAATTGTTAAATGAACACCCTAACATAACAATTTACTCTCACGTTAATTTGGTAGAAAATATATTGCCCTTGTTTTTACACTCAAGGAAATGTAAAACTTAATACCTCTTATACTTTTCGCGCCCTTATGTTGCCTCTCTTCTCTCTCTCTCTCTCTCTCTCTCTCTCTCTCTCTCTTTCTTTCTTTCTTTCTTTCACCTCTTTTTAACCAATTATCTTCTCTCTCTCTCTCTCTCTCTCTCTCTCTCTCTCTCTTTCTTTCTTTCACCTCTTTTTAACCAATTATCTTCTCTCTCTCTCTCTCTCTCTCTCTCACTCTCTCTCTCTCCCCCTCTCTCCCCCTTTCTATTTTCCTTTCTCCCTGTTTATATATTACTATATACGGTCAAATGCAACACTATTGTGGGAAGTAGATTTAACATAAATACCATATCTAAATGTACCTTGTATGATTTTAATTATTTCCGTTAAATGACTAATTAATTAGCGACTATTCGTATGGTTAAACCTTTAGTTATTAACAATAAATAATGGTTTGACAACAGTTAATATTCATATGATCACAGCGGACTTGGCAAATCAAAGAAATAAGAAAATTGGACATGTCGTTTACCACGATTGTAGAAAGTAAATTAGTTTAGAAAATTCTCAAGCTTTCTCACGTTATGGCCAGCGATAAACGCCCCCCCCCAAAAAAAAAAAACTACGGGAAAAAGATCATTCTACGTGCGGACCATAAAATAGACGAGGGATAATTAGTTACGATGGAAAGAATTTTTCCATCCTGCGAAAATAATTGTTTTTTTTTTGGGGGGGGGAGACTTTTGTCAAAGGTCGCATTATAATCAAGAGATTCAAGGATTTAAGCATCTTATCTTCTTTTTTTTTTTTTTCACTTTTCGCCCCTGTGTCGCCAACTTTCTAAGTCCGAGAGGATCAGCACGTACTTCAATCTCGCGCGCCGCCTCCAATTTCGTCGTGATTAACCGTTGAGATAATTGCCTTTTATTATTCCTAAACCAAGGAGAAGGATCGTAAATAATTATTCTCCACTTCTAGGAAGAATTTGTATGAGGAATGCTGTTCTGTGTCAGTTTACTAATGTTTGGCAGAAAATAAGTATTCATAAGACGTCTAAATGGAAAAGCGGTTTCTTCACTACTTGTTTTCCGTTGGATGAAATAGCACTCCATAGTCGATTTCTCTTAACAACATTTTCACAAGAACATAAGGGGTTTGAAAGCTTCGAGCCTTTTACAAACGTTTCTTTTTATGTGTAATTGTTTATTATCCTTGCTTTGAAACGACTACACCATTATTCGGAATTGGCTCAGTCCTATATCCCGGTTCTCTTTTCACCCTGTGTAATCTACAAATTCCGTTTTACATTATTGGCCGAAGCGGCTTTTCATCTCCGGACGGCAAGACGAAAAGTAGGACAAATGAAGAACATAAGACCTTGTTACCAGCGCTTCCTAGATACATTTTGAAACGATGCACGAGATGCGAAAGGTTGTTATATTGGGATAAATGGTACAATAAAAAGACCTAGAGAATTGATCGCCTCATTAGGACGGTTTCTGTTTTGAATTCTTTGATGGTCACGTAGGGTAACTGAACTAGGCCGTTGATCCCATCTCGCACCGAGGCCGCAAATTAGGAAATTATTGTCCGCAATTCCCGCAACCAAATCCCATTCCTTTCTAGTTCACCGTTAGTTCGAGCACTTTATGGCAGGCAGGTAATACGAGGAATATCATGTTATTCCCTCGGCGAAATCCAACCATCAAATGGTACCGGGAGACGTTTTGGCATCTTTCGTCTGTTTTCGACAAACATCAGAAATCACAGGGATGAACTAACGTGATAAAATAATTTTCTGCTTTAATAATGAATTAATTTTCCAAATAATTACATATTATTCTTCAATTAAGACAAAACAGAAGTAAACAGATTTGTTGTATTTCTACTTATTGGAATTTCTTGTTGAAATTTCAACATGCGAAAATAATAGTGAGAGGCGTCTCTTCTTCGTCGGGGTGCTAAGCTGTGTTTAATCAACTGAAATTCCAGCTGAGTTATCAGAGATTTGTTACCATATTTTATGGAGCTTTATTTTGAATCTTTAGAAACATCGCAAGGTTAGGATGTTTAGCAAAACCCCATCCGTTTCAGTGCTTTGTTGCTTCAGTTTGATCTGCTTTTGTTATGTCTACCCTCGCTGTTGGTAGCTGTCCTAGAAGTATTATAATTGCACTTAATAACTAATTACCGTATCGTCCGCAAAAGTTGGTGTTGTAAATTTGACTGTTTGAGGTAGATCACTTGTACATCCTATGTAGAGGATGGGACCGAGACGTACAAACTGTAGATACACATAATTGAAATAGTTGTTAATCTCACAACTGAAAGTTTATATTTGGAAAGATTTGTGTAGCATTTAATCAAAGATAGTAATGTTTTATTGGTTAAAAACGAGAAAATTTAAACCAACCCAGTGCCACGAACGACAATACAGCGACCTAACAATCTCGACTACCTCTGCCCATTGTTACTCATGTTTACCGATTTAAATATCATATAAATTAATCCATATTTGCTTAGTGGACATAATTGACGATATTAATTTTTTCATTCAATTATTCTTTTTTCTAAGGTTTTTGGCTGAGATGAAAAATTAGTGTCACGAGCGGGATTCGATCCCGGCTCAATACGCCGCTACTCTAACCACTTCAGCTATCGTGATTTCCTTAGATACAAATAATAATTGATTGAAATAAGTAATTTGGTCAATTAGATCACTAAACATAAACGGGTTAATATTTGATAAGTGAAGAAGTATCACTTCACTGACAGCTCCTCGTGACCACTTCATAAGTCGCTGAGAATGTAATCCTGATTGCGCATTTGAAAACAAGGCAAAAAGAGGGAAAATTCGAACTGTTGTAGGTTGAAATGGGAAGTTGGTGTCCGATGGGATCGAAGTCACGATAGCTCAAGTGGTTAGATCAGTGGCGTATTAAACCGATGGTCGTGGGTTCGAATCCCGCTCGTGACACTAATTTTTCATCTCAGGCAGAAACCTTAGATAAAAAGAATAGTTAATTGGAATATCAAGTGAATATTTGGTATTCCTTTTGTCCCAAGTCGAGGACATGACTGTCACTGTGTTTGAATAGAAAGGAAGAAACTACAATATTTATGTATTTTGTCACGCATAGTAACATGCGTTTATGTTCGATCATCGCCTGAAAAGTAATGGGTCAAGAAAAGAAATTTTCTAGCGTAAAACCAAAATGGAAACAACACTGGACGTACAATAGTAACAGTCGAAAGAGCCGGTATGAAACCCAACCAGTCCAACGAAAAGTATTGAGAATCGTACATTAATTTATGCTTGAACATGTAACATGGATCATCATAGAACCCATAAATCAATTACAAAGATTGTAAACAGTAAGAATTTCTATATATCACTGAATCCGTTAAGAACTGCTAGCAGTTTTTGATAATTTTAGTGGTCGCATTTCAAAATATAATACATCGATTTTTAGGGTGAAGAATGGTTCCTGGTGATGTAAAATTTTCATTTAGGTGTTAACATTTAACATTTTTAAGTCGATTTCCTGAGAGTTTTTTGATGAATGAATTGTTTGAAATTTTTTCCCATTACGTTGTTTTTAATGGTATCTCGGTAAATAATCAGGATTTGATTTATTTTCGAGGCATTATTGAACATTATCATTGGTCTATGTTTAAAGTATGTCGTGAGGTATTGCTTTAACCTAATGACACTGGAGGTGATGGGTTTGCCACGTTGGCCCCATCGAAAACATATTTCCTTTACATCTCTCTCACTGATTTTGCAGTTCATTCAACCCTGTTACTGAAATAGATGAACTGACGACTAAAGACAAAATAAGAACGACACAAAGATAGAATAAGAAGTTAATAGAAAGATTAAATAATAATAAATTCAAGATCGATAAGTTGCATTGAACGATGAAAAGACCATACATTAACAAATTATATTTGATCGAATTCGATCATATTTTAAAAGTTATTTCGAAGGGATAGAAAGAAAATATAAATAAGTTGTACTTAGGAGTGAGAGAGAGGACTTTGTCGAGGGTTCACGTAGCTGAATCGGAACTTGAATTCTAATTTTATTCAGGACCAATGCACTTTGATTTTGTCCCTGGAATCTTTTTTGAAAGGCCTAAACAACGCTCGAGATGCCATCTGGATGCGATACGAATATCCAATTTGTCTATTTTTGCCACTGTCTTTGGGACTCGCGTGTAGATTAAGCGCAGGTCGGACTTGTTTAAATTGATCCTTCGCCCCCTTAAAAAGAGGTCTAATAAATTCTAGCAGAGATAAGTGTGACATCTTTCCTTAAGGAAAATTTAAATAATCAGAAATTTATTGAGAATATGTATTAATAAAGGGATAATGTAATTGATTTATTTATTTTACACTTTAAAGATCGACATAACTGAACACATAGGCTATCGTCCGATCACGGGCTTATCAAAGATATTGGAATATATAGTAAATGCGAGGAAGGAAAAACGATATTTGTACTTTCAATAGCGTTCATTATGGTTTTTAGATGTTGAAACTTGACACTGGCTAATGGGTATGAACGAATCCACTATAAAAGGTTTAAGCATTATTCGTGGACAGCAAGCTTTCCACAATTTTCTTTTTCAAGACAGACTGGTATATGAACTGCCCAAGTTGAGCCACCAGAGGTCATATAAACGGTGCCTCATATAACCTCACGGTGCCGGTGTTTTTGAAAATAAGACATTTGTAAGTATGTCAGGTTGAAATGCAGGGCCGCTGGATTCGAACCCGGGACCTTCACCTTACAATGATGAGCTCCGTGTCAACGCCTAAACCGTTGCGGCCACCGACGCCCCCTTTTGGCCAATTGTTTAACATTTACTATCTACTATACTATCGGGCTATTGGCAGCCATGTATGCAATTGATACCGCTCGTTTTTGCTTTTGCAAACCTTCGCAACTCTGTTACAAGCCATCTGACACAACTCTACCCAGTAAATCGTTACTAAAAATCGACTGCGAAAAACTTACATACAGCGTAGATTTAATATTTGGTAATGCCTGTCCTGTCCCGGGAGGAGCAGGTAAAATTAAAAAAAAAAGAGCGGTTCCAAGTGCTGGATAAAGCTTCTAGCTGCATAAAGAATTGTAAATAAAAGTATTAAAAACCATTTCTACGAAACTGCTGGAAACGATGAAATTTTCTTCTGATCCCCTAATTTCTCCTGTTAACATTAAAATACCGCAAGGAAGGATAATACCCAAATAAATGCAGGATGTTTTGGACCTAAGTAGGTGTGATTTGTGAATTTTACGTTGCCTGTAAATATAATAATAAGACGATGACAGTTTTTATCCACAATACTTTTTTTTATGGTTTATTTGGTGTTGATGCAGAATACGATTCATTCATCCATTGTGACCAAATCAGGTCTATTGGGGAACTATAGCTTATTGCCATACTTTGGAAAGTGAGCTATCTGAGCACGTTCCTTGGTGCCTTTTCGTGATCTACTTGGTTTCTCGTGGCAAAGCCGGCATGTTTCTCTCTCAGCCTTGCCTTTTAAGATGATACGAGGGCAATGGCCGGTGTAGAGGCCTAGAATTTTTCTCAAATCCTGCCTTCTGAGAAAGAGGAGTTCTTTCGACTTCCGTTTTGAGATGTTTATAGATCTCTTAGCTTGCCTCTTATCTGGAGTATTTGTCCAGTGAGTTTTTCTTTCTCAACTCGTTTTTCCAGTTCCAACTATAACACACACTGAGTACTTAGTTGTGGTTCTGGTCCCATGGGTGAGAGGGTTGCTCCTTTTTTGGACATATGGTCAGCCCTTTCCTTTCCTTCTATGCCTTCGTGACTGGGAACCCATTTCAAGGTAATCTTGTTTTGCTTTCCCAGAGTCATTAGGCAGTTTAGGCACTTCCAGACAAGTTTGGAGTTGAAAGCATACGCATACGCACCCCCTTTATGGCTGCCCGGCTCTGAGAGTATGTATATCTTAAAGAATCCGGCGAACAAACAACACTAGCATACTCTAGATGACTGCTCACCAATGTGCACTCTTGTATGGACTTCAGCTTGGAAAATCGTTGGGGTTAGTCCAAGGGGCTTCGCATGGGTGTAATTCGGCCCTTTTACCTCTTCGCCTACTCCCTGTTCCATCTTAGATCCATCCGTTTATATTAAGGCCCCTTCTAGCTATCAACAATACAGAGCAAATAAAAATTACAATAAGTAATAATAATGGAAAAAAATCTATGAACGCAATCAAAGTGTAAAATTATGCAAAAGAACGATGTAAGCTTTAAAACTATGGACATTTACGCTATTTGATCAAATATTGCCAATTTCAAGTTGAAACAAATTCACTCCTATCTTAATAGATTTCTCTCTATAATTAATATAATCATTTTATGCATTACAATTTTACTGTATGATTAGTGTGATGGGAACATACCAAAAGAAAATTCCAGGGAGGCTGGTTCTTTGGTCATTGGTTCGTTCACCCGTGACTTTTCTTACCTCACGTAGGTCGCCAAAAGCAATGAGGAGTGGAATCACGACTTCCAATAATGCTTATTGTTTATTGAAAAAAAAAAAAAAAAAAAAGACAGCAAACAAAAAAGTATATATATATATATAAGAAAAACGGAGACCTCTTAAAAGTAAAAGGGAGTTCGTGATGCGGGAAAGTGAACGACAAAGTCAGGGCCGAAAGTGCCTTTCGTCTGGGCGAGGAACCGACCAGAGGAACGGGAGTGCAATTTGGGTGCCTACAGTTTACCGAGGCTTGGAAAGTTTTTCCTCTTTTGTTAAGTGACACCTTTTTTTTTACCGGGCCGACGAAACGAGCAACGGAAAGATGTGACAACTGTAAACGTGCTGCGGTCAAAGAAAGGTCCTTTCTACAGCCTTGACCCAAACCAAGGATAGTCATTGTCGAGTAATTGAGAAGCCTGAATATCACAAAGGCCACAAAAAAGCTTTTATAATGGACATAAACAATGGCCAAACCGAAGTATTACGGATGGACCTGACTATCACGGCTTATTAGTCTATAATACGATCGGAAGATGAGTCCGTTCAGAAATACTAATCATTTGTATCGATGTAATCTTAACTATTTTTAAACTGTCAATCGACTTGCTAATAAAATTGTTCAAAAATAGTTGAAATTTGAAACAACATTTTCAGAATACCTTCAACAAAAGTCTAAACAACCCTATATATTAATAATTAATAATAATAATAATGACCTTAGCCGTTAAAACGCCCTTAAAAATTATTAATAATAATAATAATACGTGAATGAAGGAGAAAAATGTAAGAACTTGAAACAACATTCTTTTAAAAACAATAATGGTTATCTTTTGGGTTAGGATAAGCTAAAACCGCAGGCTTGGGGCAGGGGCAGTTGAAACCCGAAAGGACGAGGAAGGAAGGATTCAACGTTGTCGAAGGCAAATTTAAAAAAAATTGTAAATGGCAAGGAGATAGTATGTCCCTGACCACTTTCATTATTTTTTGAATTTTAATCCACTTATTTTATGGATCAGGTCCCGATTTTTCTTTTCTTTAATTAAATTGTTTGTGTTATTTGTTCACACCCGTGAGTGACACGAGTTGCTGGGTGTAAAGGGAATCCGCGCAAAGATCGTAATAAAGTAAAGTAAAAAAAAAAATAATAAAAAAATAAAAATAAAATAAATAAATAAATAATAAAAATTGAAATCAAATAGTAAAAACATCAAGTATTTATTTTTGTATATAAATGATAGAAGAACTATCATTTAAAGTAGTTAAATATACCTGTACTGCCACGAATGTCCGCAATGTTTTAAAAGTGGGGTCGGTTCAGAGTTTAGCCCAGTAATTAGTTCAACTCTAGACATAGAACTGCGACCAAGGTCCAGGATATGAATTATTTTTAAAATTATGCAATTTGCTAAGAACACATCCTCTTTGACGGTAGAGTTACATAGAGAACACTGGGCAGAAGGCCCTTCCATCCGGGGGTGTAATTTAGATAACTTAGCTCACAAGTCATTTTAACAACCCACCGCAAATCTCCTAGATCCAGATGCTGATTAGAATGAGACGTTAAATGGTAGTGGGAACTATATGATCGAGATCCCTAAGCATAAACCGAGTTGATGTCAGAGCAAGCCTCACTGACTCCTGCCGATGACTGATGTGATATGTTATGTGATGTGGCATATTTAGAAACGATAGTATGCCAGTGGAAGAAGCAGAACGTGTTGTGTTTTCAATAACTTCAAGAGCAGTAATTTTTTAGTACATTCTTAAAATGAAGCCAGTAGATACTTACCATCAATAGGTCCTTGGTTGTCTCTAAATACAATGTCTAGCCTGTAGTTTAGGTGGAAAGGCCAAATATTTTTTGATTAAAAATGTCTGAAATTTCTGTACTGTTGATTTGTTGATATCCCCAAATGTGGCATGCATAGAACAGCACAGGCCTAGAGACAGCGTTAAGTAGTAGAGTGGCTTACAGTAGAATGTAATTTAACAAGCCAGCCCAAATTATGTTCAATCCCATCCTAGCTGTACACAACGCTATACTATCGATAAATTCTAAGCTAATATTTAATTTTGAAATAATTAAACTCACTTTGTCTTCATTATAGAGTGAAATCCCTACTATATTGCTGGTCGTTTCTGTTAAACTTTAACATCGCAGTAATCGTGAATAATGAGGTTTATCGCTTATCGGGTATTTTTCTAAAGATAATAACTTTTTACAATCGAGCCATCAATTATTAAGGATTTAAAAAGAAATTGATATGGTGAATACTGGTGACAAAATACAAGCAATAGCTTTTTCACATGGTTAATTCTGTCTTTAAAAAAACCTTTAATAAATCTATATTTACATCAGATTCAAAATTATATATTAATAGTTATAGACCTTTTTCTTTAATTTTTCTTTTAATTTCAGCTAACCGTGATGAATTTCTGTCTGGTAGATCTATTGAAAAAGCTTTGTTTGCTGTGGTTAATCTTATTACAAAAACAAAATTCATAAAGGTAACTATGTTTTTGGGATCTTCCAAGACATAAAGGCGTCTATTGATCAGTTTGTCATTGGCTTTACCCCCGAAGTGTTTTCACTCCCCTATACGCTGACCATAGGGTTTATACCTCTGGGGGTCCTCACTTACCCCATTATGCAGCTGGGTCACTAGTACCCACCTCTTAAGGGAGATCGTCACTTCCTAACCAACGGCGTTAAGCTCCAACGGGGGTTTTGACAGCTAGGTTATTTCAGTCTCAAAGCATGCAACTATAATCTAAAATAAAACTAAATAACTTCTATAATACGAAAAAAACACAAATACATTCACACCTATGTACACTGCACTCGTTCTGATTAGTCGGTGGAATACTCGAAGTTCTTCCATCGACCTATAGTTTTTTATTCAATAAATGGAAACATATGGGCAATATTGACGTACCCACTTAAGATGTACAGACATATTGGATAGAACTCAGATTAAAAGAGTTGGATCTGCCTGTAGCACTTCACTACCTGTTGTCTCGGGAGTACCACGAGTACCATTTGGGTTCATTATTTTTTCTTTTCTATATTAATGACCGTTTGGTAGGTAAGATATTTGGATAAAAATTTCTGGGAATAATATTGACAATTTATTTGAATCTACCAAGTATGATCTGGAGTGAGTTAATTATGATTAAATTCAAATTCCTTACTTCTAAACAATAATAAATGTAATGTTTTGCGATCCTTATTAAATTAAAAAATAAACATAAGCAATTTTAATTTCATTTTTCATATCTGCCAAGATGACAAATTTACTCGTTCACCTGTTCCTTCAACAAATAGTAATTGACTCATTAATTTACCGAATAAGAAAACTTTTTATAAATTCTGAGTTTTAAGAAATTTCAAGGATATAGAATTGTTACGAACAATATATTTTTAACTTGCTCAGTCTATAATACCTTATGGTATTGTCTCGTGGGGTGATAAATGTTTCATTAATCCTTTAGTCGTAACTCAAAACTCACTTTTAAAAATTATTTTATGTAAAGCTTGTAGATATAATATTAAGAGACTATATAATGAGTTTAAGGTAATGAAATTGAATCAGATATTTCTTAAATGTTCATATCTATATGTGTCTCAATATAATCTTACTACTTTTGCATCATAATCTCACTAGACAACAATCATATGCCAACTTGATTTTGCCCAGAGCAATTTTATTTATGAGACGATGAAATTATTTTATTAAAATGTTTCTTTAAATGTTGCACTTGTTTTTAAAAAAATAAATATAACATTAATTTACAAAACTTCGAAAGTGATGCACATAAAAGAATCACATAATTTGAAAACTTATCTTCATAATGTATACACAATTTTTAGAAATGTTAAATACTAGGTTTTTACAAAAGTCTTTGTGTATTAATTAATTGGTGTTTTACTAAGTTTCCATTTTAATCCTTATTCGACTCTAATGTAAACAATGCATATATCGTTGTTTGCTGTGATTAATACTTTATTTAATATTATGTATACCAACTGACTTTGCCTTTCATTCCATTTTAAAAAATCACCGAAATTGTCGGAAAATAAATTGTTAATCGTAGCCTACTGAGGTACTACTGGAAAAAAGGCTAACTGCGAAGGCAGCAAACAAGAAAATTTGTGAAGTGGAAGGTGAAAATGTCGTGCATCGTAACTCTACTGTGTTTAGGTTCAGGCGGTTCTGGGAACAACAGTTTTCAAGATGTGCCTAGATCTAGTCGCCCTTCAGTATTTGGTGATGTTGAATTACTCGATCAGTCAATAAGGATCCGTATGCGACCACTCGAGGATTATCGTCAAAACGGGGCTTTCAAATGCATCGGTAAGCCTCCGTTTAAAAAGCTTAATGCGCGAAATATACGACCCAGATCAGATCCTCTTCACTTGTCAGCCGCCCAAGCTCAACTACGAGTTGATATTTGTAAACATTTGCTTCAAAATCCAAAAGACGGTAGATTTTGAAAAATAATTGTAACGGACAATGAAAATTGGATATTTTTAAAAAGTCCTATCCACCGAAAACAGTGGGTACCGCAAGGGTCAGAGGTTCAAGCAGAGGTTCGCCAGATCGTTAGATCGATTTGGAAAAATTATGCTTTGTGCTTGGTGGAATTATGACGGCGTTTTGTACCTTGAGCAGGTTCCAGGTGGCAGGGTATTGACGCAGAGCTTTACTATGAACAATTCGAAAGATAATTACCCTGCTTTGATCAATCAGGATAAAGCGATATTTCAGAAAGGCAACGCTGCTGCCTATCGTTCACGAAAAGAACAAGAAATGAAAAAGAAAATTTTTCAGAAATGAAGGGTGTTAACATCCCCTCTACTTACAACCCTGACGACGCACCGTCTAGGGTATTTTCCGGCAATTTTTTTTTTTTGAAAGGCCAGAACTTAGAAAACTGTGATTGATGTAAAATTAGGATGTGGGAAGTTCTTCGCTTCAAAAACCAAAGCCTGGCATCACCACTAATTTCAACATCTGGCAGAAAGATGGGTTAAAGCAGGTCATAATGATGGCCTAAATTTTGAGGAAAAATTTTCATGTTTACAGATTATACAGAAATTTAAATAAAATTTAATATATTAATCCATTTATGTTTAGTGATATAATTGACCACATTAATTATTTCAATTAATTATTTTTATTATGTGAGGTTGAGATGAAAAAGTTAGCGTCACGAGCGGAATATCTTCATTTCAACTAAGACCTTACATAACATTAATTATTAATTTAAATAAAATTCATTTATGTACAAAGATTTTTGTAACGATCTAGTCATTACCCATTATTTACTTTATTATTTTTTTAATAGACTTTTAGTTCAATTGTTTGTAACTTTAATAACTTTATTTTAAGGGTTTTATAGTATTGATGGACATAAAGTTTAAACTTATTATGAGACTAACTAACTTATTACGTTGATAGTTTGTACGAGTTGATCGTTATTGTAATCCATCATTCTAAATTACAGAAGACAATAAGTTTCCAATCATTATTCTTCATTTATATTACTTTCTTTGTGAAAGTTGGTAATTTTTCTAAGCTAATTATGTAAGTAGTACTACTGCACTATATGTACATAGATATTAACCAATATATGTAACAAGAAACATCCAAACTATCTGGATTATGACCTAAATGAAATGAGTTCCATCTAAGTGCGTAGGTTTCTGCTTTCTTTCTTTTTTGATTTCATTTATAGGGTTTTTTTTTTAATGTTTAACCTATATATTGTGAATTTTTACTTTTGTCTTGTTCCGACCTCAAGTTGCAGATGTACAGGCAAACCGCACGTTTATAACCATTAGTAGACACGCCTTGCTTATTTTCAAGCCGTTTAAAAAGTACGCCACAACAGTTGCCTATACTGCCAACTTTCTCGAAGTTTATTGCGGCGGAGAAGAAATTTTGACATTCGACTTTTGCGAGGGGGGATTTCCAAGGGGATTTCGCGATTTCCATTTTCTCGTGCTTTACTTTCAGTTCTTCAGTCGATTACAGGTCAAGACAGATGTCATGGCTTAGTGGCGATTCAACGCTTAAGCGACAAACTACGAGTATAATAAATCGCATTATCGAGGCACCACATGTAGACTCGATCGCTCCTTGAAAGCCATTAGGCCTATCAACTATGGAAAACAGATTTCTAGAGTGGCAGTTCTCGAACATTCTCGCTTTTATTTCCTTTCTTCCCCCAAGTGCGTAGACCCTGCGGGAGTCCTGTGAGAACCGTGCAACCTTTGCTCATTCCGACCATAATATACTTGGACTGACTTTTTATATTCACTAATGATACGACCTCCAAACGGCACTGACTTCCAGAGTCTGTTATTTGTTAAATTGTTCTAGGAAGTCTATGAAATGAGATGGGGCACAGCGAATAAATAAAAAGTTTGTTTCGATTTCCCCAATGATATAGCCGCATATTTTCTTAATTTATATTTAACACTTCTATACTTAATACTTCTATCCTCTCCATTTAAAGTACACACTATTAAATTATAAAAATAAAAACCCTGATCTTTATATGTATTTGGAAAGCAGCTATAACGAAAGATTAGTCGGTAATTTGTTCGGATTTGATAACTGGATAGGCGGAAAAATTTCTTAGTTAGATTTATCTTAACGTACAGGAAAAACCTAGGGAATGAAATTGTAGCAGCGGTAGTCAATGATCTGATACTTCTAAGAAGTTTTGAGAGTATTGCACTGCACTAGGGAACTAGGAAAGTAGATACAATAAGCCAGAAGGCCTGGGGAAGCCAAAAAAGCCGAATGCCCTGCTTTCTAGTACCCTCCCTACCATTGTCAATATCTAACCTCTCCATTATAACTACACACTATTAAATGATAACAATAATAAAAAAACCTGGTCTTTATATTTGGAAAACAGCGAGAACGAGGTACAATAGGCCAGAAGGCTGCTGCAGTGCTTAGGGAACCCAAACCCCACTTCGTAGGATCCTCCCTACCATCACCAAACCCCACCTCTCTATTCTAAGTACACACTATTAAATGATAATAATAAAAAACCCTGGCCTTTATATTTGGAAAACAACGAGAACCGAAAGATAGTCCGTAATTTGCTCGGATTTGATTCAGGATTCTTGAACTTCTTTCTTAGTGAGGAATGTTTTTCATCAATTTCTTTCCGTATTCGGAGGCATAATTGTCACAACAGAAACCGGGCGAAAAAAGCTTTCCAACCAACAGAGATCAGTGTTTAACCATCTCCGCAAATTAAAATTTTCTAAATGAGTTAAGCATCTCAAAAGTC